GTTCAGTGTACAGTTTATAAGATTTTTCTTGATATTTGTAAAGCCAGATTGTAATGCTTATTGTCTCGTTGGTAAATGTGATAGAGAGGAAAGTATCAACTAATGATTGCGAAAAATTTTCCTTTTTTATGTTACTTACGTAATTTACATATTTAACCTCAAATACGTGACTGGAATGGATTTACGGAGGAAAAAAAATAAATAAAATAAAAATTCCTCAATTACGTGACTATATAGATGATACTAGACTGCTGAGCATGAATGAGATATACATCAATGTCCCATAATCTATTTCTTTGCTAAAGATTAGCTCTCATATGCATGCTCAATTAAAATTTTACTCAGAATACAGAAGGCACAGTTCCTTTACTTCTCACTTTCAATTGCATTGTATGCTATTATGTGGGATATTTTCCGTCCATAAGGTTTGATGCAGAAGGGTGACTGCAATTGGGCTGTATAAAATTAATATTCATTTTCTATCTATTTTGGTCCTCTTTACAGGTGAGCGGGTCAAAATTCTATTACCTGAAGAATGAAGCTGTAATGTTAGAGATGGGCCTCATAAACTGGGCAGTATCAGAAGTTATGAAAAGAGGCTTTACACCTCTTATAACTCCAGAAATTGTCCGTTCTTCTGTGGTGGAGAAATGTGGTTTCCAACCACGTGGAACGAATACTCAGGTTATTATTCTAACAATAATAGGCGAGCCTTTCTTTGAGCATATTACTGCTAGATTTGCAAGTTTTTCCATGAAAGTTGTGTCTTCTTTATTGGGTAATTTTTGCTTCCTTTGAAGTCTGGCCATTTTGTCTGTTCGTCATAATTACAATGCATTAAGAAAGCTAGTTTGGACCTTAACAATATCCAATTATCACTATTCATCAAGCTGATCCTGCTCCAGTCTTCTTCTGATCCAACATGAATTGGCGTTAGTGCTTCGGGGACCAAGATGTTCTTTTTTCCGATTCTATATTTTGAAGATTTCCAAATATTACCTCTTTCCGTTAAATTTTTGTTTGGGCTGTGCTCTCTTCTGTCACCGGAGTATTTTACCGTTCTTCTTTATGCTTTCTGTGACAGGTTTACTCCATTGAGGGTAGTGATCAATGTCTTATAGGCACTGCAGAGATTCCTGTGGGGGGAATCCATATGGATTCCATTATTCCTGAGTCCTCATTACCTTTAAAGTATGTGGCTTTCTCCCATTGCTTTCGTACTGAAGCTGGTGCTGCAGGGGCTGCAACAAGGTAAAACTTAGTGAGGTTTTGCAAAATCTCCATGCTCTTTGGCTTCATTTAAGTTCTGTTCACAGCTTCCGTCCGTAACTCTTAGTTACCTTTGTGGTTCTTTCCCTTTTTGAATTCTCTCTTTCTATTTTTCTTGCTGACGCGTGATTTGAAAAAATTGGGAACTGGTGAGCGAACATAGTAAACACTGTATTATTGAGTACTGATCACAATATATACCAAATTTTTAACATGAGAAACTGTTTGTCCTTGTTTTGAATTGATCAAGTATTAGCAACTTCTATAGAATAATTATTATCAATTATTGAAGTGATATTTCTTTTATGTGTATATCATTATGTATTATGTAGCCTGTATATTGTACCTATGGGTGTCAACAGAAACATAAATACATTTAAAACATTTTTGTTTGAATTTTAAGCCTGTCATATGCTTTTAAGAGATCATTATTAAACGTTATAAAATACATATAATCAAATGTGTGCTTCCTCATTTCAAATTGAAGTGTTATATATTGTTGTTGAAGGTTCTTAATCTGTTTCTAATTTTTTATTGATCACCAACAAATCGATATATGCATATGATGCTGTGGCAAAATATTCTGTACCAACATGAAACATGCTTCTGTGAATGCTTAAGTAGTGCAATGACGTCTCTGGTATTGGGGGAGCCATCATTATCCATGCTTTTGACTCAGGTTTAAGTGCCAATGTTTGTTCTGAAAATGTAATCTACTGACTTTTTTCCATGAATTTGATTGTTAACAATTTGGGACAGGGGCCTTTATCGAGTACACCAATTTAGCAAGGTAGAGATGTTCATATTATGCCGACCAGAGGAAAGTAATTCCTTCCATGAAGAACTAATTGAAATTGAAGAAGAACTTTTCTCCTCGCTGGGGCTTCATTTCAAGTATGCATCTGACTTCATTTCATCTGGATTTAAATTCTCTTTCGATGTGTTGACCATAGTCTTTCCTATTCATTTCCCGCTTGCCGGGTTGATGACTTCATCTAATTTTCACAGAACCATAGACATGGCAACACAGGATTTGGGTGCACCAGCATATCGTAAATTTGACGTGGAGGCCTGGATGCCTGGATTGGGACGTTATGGTGAGGTATGATAACAATATTTTGCTGCTTACCTCCCGATTGTTTTTGTTTCATAATGAACTAATCTCTAATCATCTTTGCTGATCTTCTTCAATAGATATCAAGTGCCTCTAATTGTACAGACTACCAAAGCCGGAGGTTAGGCATTCGATATCGTCCAGAATCATCCATTCCTCCTAAAAAGGGTAAAGGTAGTTCTACACCAACACGGTTTGTTCACACACTAAATGCAACGGCATGTGCAGTTCCAAGAATGATTATATGCTTGCTTGAGAATTACCAGCAAGAAGATGGTTCTGTTGTTATACCTGAGCCATTAAGGCGTTTCATGGGTGGACTTGAGATAATTACCCCCAAAATCCAAATAGGGTGTTAATTTGATCTTTCTCATATTAGAATTTGTTATTTATATTTTATACCTGATTTAGATTTTGTCAGAATTGTAGCATTAACCAAATTGATAAATTTATTCTTTGCGTATCTCTTGTTAATTTACGGTTCATGCAATTATAGTGAAATATTAGACTAATTTGGACTTTTTTAAAGCTTAGGGACCAATGGTGCAATTTCTCCAAAATTCGAATATTTAGTACGTGGAACCATTAGGTTTAAATTAATTTATGGAATCGAATCGGTTTGGTACGATTTTGTATCATAAATACATTTTTTAACGTTAATAGTTACACTACAATAATCTAATTAATGATATGTTCAATCTTAACTTCGTATAACAACACTATTAATTCTTACAAAATAGAGTAGTTTCATCTAAAAATAGACAAATAATAAGTTGTCTAATAAAATTCATTCATCAATATATACAAATTACCTTGTTCAAGGAGGAGGAAATTTAATGAACATGAGGTGCAGTCGCCAGCTTCGATCATTTGAGAAATGCTAGAATAATTGAGAAAATTTTTATGATACTCAATTTTGATTATTTGAAATGTGAATTACAAAGTTGGGTTTGGACTAAAAGTAGGAAAATGATATTTTATGCTTAATTAATTAGTTGGCAAAAAAAAAAAGGAAATTATATTTTGGACTCAATTAGTTGAAATTTTTATTTAGAAACAATTAAAATAATTGGCTTATTTAATATTAAAAAGACATGAGAAAGATTCGATTCTTATTCAATTCTTCGGGTGTTGATTTAGAATTGAGAACTAAATTAAACTCATTAGTTTTCGGTTCTGATATCTATTTGGATGTTTAATTTAAAATGAACCGAATCGAACCGAATTAAATCACTCGATTCGTTTTAGGTCCAGTTCAATCCGGATCGGTTCGAAAATTTTGTCCAACCTTAAAAATAACAAAGGCGTCCTGCGTAACAAGAGACCAGTGGCACAAGTTAATTTTCATATGATATTTTAATGAATAAAAGTCTGTTTCAAACATTGTTATTGATTTACTGTTGTATCAAACATTTATTCAAAAAAGATGGGAAGCATTCTTTTGTCTATTTCCTTAAAAGGTCGTTGATATTTTAATGAATAGAAGTCTGTTTAAAACATTGTTATTGATTTCCTGTAGTGTTAAACATTTATTCAAAAATCGTGGGAACCATTCTTTTGTCTATTTCCTTGAAGGTCGTTACCGACCGTAGATTCGATGTTCGACAAATCACATTGATATGTTATTGGAATGGCTGACAGGATCAAAGCAAGACAATTAACAAATTTTGTCATGCTCAATAACTTTCTACGTCGTCTCGTATTTGATATCTTGAACTACATAAAGAATTGGTAAAGTTGCGATTTTATCAATTCTAGTGCGTAAAAAATGCTCTAACCCTTCATTCTTTAGCCAGCAACGAGTTGCTCAACGAACTGTCCAAGGCTGATTATGAAGTCATTTTACTATGAGACAATAAAATAACCAATTTTCATTTTGAGATTTCAAAGTTCTGTTCCAAGAACAACATTACCCTCTTCTATCTGAAAGTGAAACACTGCAAACACATTAAAAAGTTACTTATTTCACTCGCAACTACCTACCCTCGGCCGTCACATGTCGGCTATATTTTATCCCATGTTGGGTCGAGAAAGCTATAAGCAAAGTGTGTGAAGCACGCAGACATCACTGCTGGCGTTAGATAAATTATTCTAATATAAAAGGGTTCTTGTCACTAGAAGCCATAGATGAAAACAGTGACTACTTTATAATAACAATTTGAACATGTAAAATATTGCACGTTCTCGTAATCCTGCACGGGAAATTTAAAATGATCTGGGAACAATAAGGAGAACAATAAAAAATTTAATCTATGGCATATTCTTGATGGATTTTTCTATATAATTTATACTAATCTGCACCTATTATATGAAATCAGAAAACATCGTTTGAGCGTATGAAAACCAATTACAATGGCTTCAGAGAACCATAGCCAAGAAAATGGTGTCCAAAATGGTATGGAAGTGGCTCAAGTCGCAGTGGTGATGGTGCCTCTTCCGGCACAAGGCCATCTCAACCAGCTTCTTCACCTCTCCCGCCTCGTCTCTGCCTATGGCATACCTATCCACTTCGTCGGCACCACCACACACAACCGGCAGGCGAAGTCTCGAGTCCATGGTTGGGACCCTTCGGCCACCACCAATTTTCATTTCCAAGATTTTCCAATTCCTCCATTCGACAGCCCTCTCGCTGACCCCAATGCCACCACTAAATTTCCCTCACAAATCCTTCCAGCCTTTCATGCATCAATACATCTGCGTGAGCCTGTTTACTCATTCGTACGCAAACTTTCAAGCACAACCAGAAGAATAGCTGTGATTTATGACTCTTTAATGCCTTATGTTGTTCAGGACATATATTCTATATCAAATGCTGAATCCTATTGTTTTAATAGTATATCAGCTTTCTCTTTATACTCATTTCACTGGGAACTTAGTGGAAAACCTGCTTTAAGTACTGAAGCAGAGATTTTAAAAGAAGTTCCTTCCTCGGAAGGTTGCTTTTCACCAGAGTTTGAAAAATTCTTAGAATTGCAAGAAGGGGCGAAGAAATTCAATTCTGGAGATCTTTATAACGCAAACAGATTTATAGAGGGGTTTTATCTTGATTTGCTTGCAAAAGAAAAGACTACAGGAACAGACAAACTCTGGGCTATTGGTCCATTTAATCCAATGGTGATACCTGAAAAAAGGGACTTAAACAGCCATCACAAATGTTTAGAGTGGCTTGACAGGCAACCTCTGAATTCAGTGATATTTGTTTCATTCGGCTCAACATCTTCGTTTTCCGATGAACAAGTCAAAGAGCTCGCCTTCGGGCTGGAACAGAGTGAACAGAAATTCATATGGGTATTGAGAGACGCTGATAAAGGTGATGTCTTCGAAGGTGAGACTAGGAGAAGTCCATTGCCAGAAGGGTTCGAAAAGAGAGTGGAAGGAAGAGGAATTATTGTGAGAGACTGGGCACCCCAGTTAGAAATTCTGGGGCACCCTTCGACCGGTGGTTTCATGAGTCATTGCGGATGGAATTCGTGTACAGAGAGCATAAGCATGGGAGTTCCAATAGCAGCTTGGCCGATGCATTCGGACCAGCCTAGAAATGCCGTACTAGTAACAGAAGTACTGAAAATCGGTCTGGAAGTCCGGAATTGGGCAAGTCGAGATAAATTGGTGTCACCAGCAATGGTAGAGAACGTTGTAAGAAGATTAATGGACTCAGCAGGAGGAGAGGAGATGCGAAAGAGGGCAGCAGAATTAGGAGATGCAGTAAAGCAATCAGTGATGGAAGGTGGTGCTACTCACAAGGAGATGGATTCCTTTATTGCTCATATTAGTAGACAAAATATTTCAGCTCAAATCTAGTTCTTCGGTCATCATTATGGAAAGGTATAATTTGATTTCATCATTACACTATTTTCCTTCAACTGCTTTGAAGAATTCCAAGTTGTTTGAGAATTTTCCTTTTCATTCTATGTAGTTATGCACGAGAATCTGTGATCTTAATTTCCTTTTCACTCAGGATCAAGCTCGGGAATCCACCAGACGACTATTCGTTTAAAGTCACCTGATGTTCATGTGATGCTCTGCATTGAACATATTATGGATCTTCTCCTCGTCTCCTCATGGATCCTGGAGCTTCACACATTACAGATCTCCTCCTCGTCTCCTGGTGGATCGCAGTATTTTAGATTTCCTTATTTTCTCTGTAGTCCAAATGCAAAATGTAAATCGAAACTATTAATTTCCTACATTTTGAAGACTGTGTTTGTTATAATGGAATTGAAACTTCAGTTGAAATTAGATTTGTTCAAATTTAAAGTGAATCTTTAAGTGAAATTTGATTCCAAAAGCCTCAATACATCACAAGAAAACTCAAACAGCATTTTACTGGATCCGCCACTGAACTCACTAATGTATACTCACTTCTTTTTCAAGATAAACATGCACTGGTTTCTTGAATTCCATAGATATAGTGGAAAATGGCATTTTCTGGCCTGTGACTGATATTTCAATGCTTGGATTTTTGCACTAATTTCCATTGATTTTACTATTTTAGACAAATCTCTGTTAGAGTTTATTATGGTGAAGTGGGAAGCTAAGGAAATGGTGAACGAAAGAGCCACGGTGAGTAAGAGGGAAGTTTCCACCTAAATATTGGTGTTGAAGAGGAAAACCCCCAACAGGAAGGTGGTGGTAGACTGTTGGCAGCGGCGCACGATTACCATTTTGCCCTTTTAAAATTGGTTAAAAGATGGTCAAAATTTATTATGATGGTCAATTGATGACATTTTAAATGAAAACCTTCCAAAATGATCTTACATACAACAGTTGAAAAAGTTAGGGATCATCACTGCAACAAATGAAATGTTTGAAAAAAGTCTGTTATTTATTCAAAGTTTTGGATCTTTTACCACAGTTATCCCTAAAAATAATCAAGAAATTGACAACTTTTTAATATAATAGTTTGAACAACTAAAATTTGTGACGACCCAAATTTAATAATTTAAATCGTTACCAACAGTCTATGAAAAAAAATTATTCAAATCTTTTTTCTTTTTCTTTTTTTAATTTCTTTTCTTAGTAACGAAGACTTTTCGATAATGTAGCAATCATATGCGTTTATATAGATTTAATAAAAGTCAATCTACCATTTGAATATAAAACATAATTTTACATGTATTAAATGACAAATTAAAAAGGAACGGGCAAACAGCAAAGTCAGTACAATGAAAATTTATAAAAATCATGCATATAACATTTATTGAAATGTTGATTCTACTAATCTAGCTTAAAAACATATTGTAATTTATAACTGAATAAATCATGTCTTAAATTTCTAAATAAAAGTCCTTATGAAAATAAACAAAAGATAATATTTAATTTTAAAATATTTAGTCACGTTATACCAAATTTAATTTATTAAATCCAATGAATCCAAGCACAACAACTGCACCCATTTTCTGCCAACCAATGACTCGTTCTAAGCTTTGAAAAATAAAGAAAATGGTGAGTGTATGGAAATACTCAATAAGATACAAATAATTTGTGTAATCTCAAATAAAAGTATTAAATCACGCGTAAAAAATATCATATCGTTATATCATATCTTTAGAAATCAGTAAGAGCCCACAATATATCATACGTTTGGTACCAATCATAATTTTCATTAGCATAATATTTATCAACATGAAAAAATAAAATTAAATGGAACAAATAACTTGCACTTTGTAATCCTAACTCGTTAGATCAATTAATATTTTTTGAAAGATAAAATCCAAAATCACGTTCCAAACTTTATTTTCTACCTATGCTTATGTGCAGTGTATATTCATATATATTTTTGTGTGTGTCTCTTCCGCTACCATGTCATACACATATACGTACATAGGCAATAATGATCTTAGACCCTAAGAGTTGATGCCAAGTGGGAAATGTATAAAACAAAATACTTAGATAAGAATATTTAAAATAGAATGTCAATTCAACTTTATCATAATAGAACTCATGTAAGGATAGCAATTGAGCTCGTCGACTCGAGTCACCCGCGACTCGACCCAGAAAAAGCTTGAGTCGGCTTGTGTGGCTTACCGGCTCAATCTCACTGGCCTTTAGAAAGATAAAAAAATAGTTAAAGGCAGCATTTTGCTACCTATTTTAAAAAGGCAACAGGCACTCGGCACAGTGTTGCCTTGGGGAAAAAAATGTCGGGCCAAGTCTAAATTTTTTGACAGTACAAAAGTTCAGCTCGACTTATTGACACCATTAGACTTATGCTAAAATAGATTAATTACTCTCTATGTCTCATTTATATATGCTGATTTTCCTTATTTTTTTGTTTCAATTATATAGTCATATTTCTTTATTCATAATGTTTTGTTTTGTTTTGTTCGTTTATTAATATATCTTTATTTAATTTGTTTGGTTATAACTAATTTTCTCACTTAATTTTGAAATTGTACAACTATAAATAAAGGTAAAGTAGGAAAGTTTTTGACAAAAAAATATTTTTTCAATAACATTAAATAAGATTTCTTAATCCATGTGAAAAACAAAACAAACCTATATAAATGAGATCGATGAAGTACAAATTAAAGTAATAACTTTCAACCTCAATAGGCTTCGCTTATTTGAATTAACCTTTTTCTCATACCTAATATACATAAATAAATACGAGCTATTTAGTAGGTCCAATATTTATATACTTATCATTGTTCTATCAAAATCTAATTATTTGACCCAAAATTATAAGAATTTAATACATATATCACTATAATCTCTCAACTTTCCAAAATAATAAAAATATAGCGTATAGTACAAGAAATTCTATTATATGAAAATTTTGGGGGTTTTAAAAAATTATAGCACATTCTTTTAATCGTGAGATTTTATATGTTAATCTGTAGATCTGGTATAATAAAAATAATCAAGAAACAGATCTCACAATAAAAAAAATAAATTAAATTTTTGGCGTATTCTAAATGGATTTGTCAATGCAATCTCCAAATGATACTAATCTGTACCTGTTATATGAAACTAGAATATATTGTTTTGACCCTATGAAAACCAATAAAATGGCTTCAGTAATCGACAGCCAAAAAAATGATATCGAAAAGGTATAGAAGTAGCTCAAGTCGCGGTGTCATAGGCTTATTCACCTACTCGATAAGTGCATTACCTATCTCAGTCGGCATCTCTATCCCAACTCCTCATATTATCTACTGTAACGATGTGGTTCGAACCTAATGTTTCACTCTCGCATGAAACATGTAGACATGCAGAAATTGATTTACTTCATTCATGATCCTTGACTTGCCCTGCTTCTCAAACCCTTTTCTAAACAATTACAACAAAAGATTTAAAAGTAGATGGTAATACTTCATTTGAACAAACATGGAACATATTAATCTCATATTGAAATATAAGCAACAATATGGGAAGGGTAGCTTCTCAAGTATTAAAATAGATCCAAAAATGTGCTACTATTGAAAGTCTACAGACAATGTTATTCCTACTGATCTCGTTTTAGTATTATTTGTGTCAATTTCTGAAAATGAAATGTTATGATCTGTCTACTAAATCCATTTTGTTGTGTAGCCCTATTATAGGCCCAAAGTCAGCTGGACCATATCACTTAAAATGATGGGATCGATCTCTAAAAGTTTACTTTTATTACCAACGTTGACTAATAACAAGTCCTCCAAAATAAATTTTTTGTTAAGGATGAAGCATGAAGCAAAATTTTGAGAAGTATAATCAGACCATATCATGGCAAAAAATATTTTTTGAAAGTAAGGACGCTTTGAAAATTTCGAATGCGATTCTATTAATAGGTAAGTGAGGGTTATGTCTTATAACGGATGGGATAAGAGATATAGTTGATAATGTCTTATTCTCCAAGAAAAATTTGACGTGTCGAACAAAGACATCATAAGTATGGAATTTTCATGTTTTCATTATTTAGAAATCCCAAGGAGCGTCCTGATGCTAACTACTAAGTTCACAAACTTTTTCTGAAAGTGAAGGTTGAATTTGGTAGATCAAAAATAACTAATCATGTGCAGTGTGACTAAATGATTTAATTAAACATCGTAAATGAGTATGTATTCCATATCAATATTTGAAATAATACCCTATGATCACCATTCTAGAAAATAGAAAAAGGGTAAAGAAAGATTTGACTAATTACATTTTTTTGGGGGGGG